AAGTCAGATTATTCAATGGGGCATACCCCCAGAATGTGTTCATAAGATTGCCCTGATAATGTGCAGTCCTAAACAGCTCTTTGACTTCAGTTGATTTAGAAGTATAGATCTCTTCTCAGGATTGCACTGCACTTCTTACATTACACTTGCTAACCAAATCCAAATGAAGAGATGGCAAGGGAGCTTTTATACCCTTGCCCACTGATTGCTCCATTTATTTCATCTGGGGGGGAAATTCAAATTATTCATCATTCCTCTAACAGCATTACATCAGAATGATTTCATCTCAGGTGGTGGTGACCTCAAATAAAACTCAGTGTCAGTTAACAGAAGCCAGAAAGTCTTGGGTTGCATGGAATGTGAGAAAAATGAACATTGTTGGCAATGGTACCTTTATATCAATGCATACCTGAGAATTTAGCTTTTTCAATTGAGACTGCGTCCTCTTGTTAATTCTCTGCAGTGCTTCTTTCTCTTCATTAAGTCTTTCTCTATCAGATCTTTCTTTTTTAAAATCTTCTTCATATATTTGAACCTACAAGTGGGATTCAATTGATTAATTCAGTGGCAGCACCCAAGTGTTCCAAAATGTAAGTAGCACAGACGTATGGTGGAATTCTATAAAAATATGTCCCTGTATCATTTTGGTAAATGTTTACAAAATTCATATAGACAAATGGTTTCCTGACACAATTCTTGGCAATTTCATAATGTTGCATGCTCAGTTTCTACATGCCTGCCATGTTATCTTACACCCACTTAGGTGCCTTAGCCTGAGACAAGGCCAGAGAAGGGAGAGGGTTCTGCTTGCTTCCCATCTCTGATTTCCTTGCTGCTGCTGTGCTTCTGCTAAGAAGTATTTGAGGAATGGAATGAAGAAATCTTCACTGGCCCTGATATTTGGTCTCCATCCCATTTCAGTTTTTGAGATGGTTGGAAATGAAGTACGAAGGCAAAAGGATGCTAGTAAGGAGAGTGAATCAAGGATTTTTCTTTGGATGATCAGGAACATGCTTCAGAAGACTGTTTTGGTGCAGTGGTTAAGAGTGTGCACTCTAATCTGGGAGAACCAGGTTTGATTTGTCACTTCTCCACATGCAGTTGCTGGTGTGACCTTGGTTCAGTCATAAGTTTTTTCAGAGCTGTTCTCTCAAGGGCAGTTCACAAAAGAGCTCTCTCAGCTCCACCTACCTCACAGTGTGTCTGTTGTGGCAGAGGGGAGGGGGAGGGGAAGGAAAAGAGATTGTAAACCACTCAGAGGCCTCTTCGGTTAGTAGTAGTATGTGCACACTAGACAGCTTCCGCCATCGAGTGTACTTCCAGTTTGGTGTAGCCGTTAAGAGTGGTGGATTCTAATCTGGAAAACCAGGTTTGATTACCCATTCCTCCACATGCAGCCAGCTGGGTGACCTTGGGTCAGTCACAGTTCTCTCAGAGCTGTTCTCTCAAGAGCCATTCTTTCAGAGCTCTCTCAGCCCCACCTGCCTCATAGGGTATCTGTTGTGGGGCGAGGATGGGAAGGAGATTGTAAGCCACTCTGAGATTCCAAGTGAAGAGCGGGGGTATAAATCCAACTCTCCTCCTCCTCCTCCTCCTCCTTCCTAGCATTTCCATTGGCATTAGATCAGTGTTTTTCAGGGACTCCCCTGCACAGATGGAAGTGCTAGCAGAAGAGGGAGTATACTCTGTGACAGAGGCTGTCTAGTGCACGTGGAATACATTTATGAGATCTGTATAGCACTCTATGGCAGCCTGTATAATCTGTATAGCACTCTAATAATCTGTATAGCACTCTATGGCAGCCTGTGTTCTTATATAATTTAATAGTTATGTACCCTGGAGCAAAAAGTTGTAGTTTTGTGTCTGCTGAAACCTTTTTTGTTTGTTTGGGTTTTGTTTGGCGCAACCCCAAAAAGGGGAGAAAAACATAATCCCATGCAAGAAAGGCAACCAAAAAGATTGAGACAAAGAAAAATAAACTAAAATATAGCTAAGCATGTAGTGCTAATGTACAAAATATATATAACATACATTCAAAAGTGCTAAAATATCATTTAATAACCACAATCCTATGGTTCTGTATAGGGCTATTTTTGGGCAGAAACGCACAGGAACGGAGTTCCGGCTGGCTCCCAAGTTGGCCACGCCCAACAGGAAGGCATGGCTCCACAAGAATTTCTCCTGTAAATGCTTCTTTCAATCATTTTAAAACATTTTTAAAGGTGTGTGCTCCTTTAAGCAGAGTGGAGTGCTGTAGTTGACTAGGGGGTTGGAGTAGGTGACCTCTAGGATACCATCTAACTCTGTGTAAGAGACTGATCTCCTCCAAGAGAGTTTTTCTGCCTAAGTGTAAGTTTTATTGATTATCAGAGTCATCACCCCCCCACCTGCTGGCTTGTTATCAGAATTATTGCTTTGGCTGGCAGAAGTGATTAACTTGCAGCAGCTGAGAACTGTCATCTAAAGTGGTTGACACCTTGCAGTTTAGAGATCTATAGCCCTACCAGAAAAAAAATTGCCCCACAAGCCACAAAATCCTGGATACCAGCCTGATATAAAGACAAATGTCTAATCACATAAATACAAGTTAAAAGGTACAAATTATATCCTTATACAAGAACCAATACCAAACACGTTTCAGCTAAAAGCCTTCCTCAGTGGTAAAATTCAAACTGAGTGCTCCATAAATTTATCAAAAATATACATAAAACTCATCGTACACAGAATGGACCTAAAATGAAAGGGGGTAGAGGGAGAAAAATAATTATCTATGTGTCTGCTAAGCAACAATTTTTAAAAAATTTAAATACTTTGAAATATATGGAACTGGGATAACTACCTTACTCACGCTGAGATGTGGAGAAAGTGGTGATAATATTCTTGAGATCAATATGTATGTACAATATCAAGATATTGAGATGAAACATATATGTACAGTATCAAGATGTACAATATTTCATATGCCCATGGATCTAAAATACACACATAGCAACTGATAGTTTCCATCCTTATCACCTGAAGAGAAATTTACCTTTTTCTCAGATGTTAAGGATTACAAGAAATGGCAGCCATGATGTAGATTTTTATAGACAAGCCAACATCCTTATGGAATGTGATATTTTACATTAGCACTAGGTGTGTAGCTATATTTTAGTTTCTTTTTCTTTGTCTCAGCCTTTTTGGTTTTGTTTCATTCATGTGATCCTTTAAACTTCAAGGAAGATGGAATTAATCTTTGGATCACTCTGGAGGCCAGTTCCTACCGCCTTGCACTCAGCAAATGTTTTTGCAGCTATCCTCTTTAAAGAGTAAAATACTGACCAGCAACATATAAGTAGTCAGGCTTAAGTTAAAACAATGTGATTCATTACTCATTGCAGACATCACTTTGGTACTAAAGTACTGTCTTCTGTGGCTTCTGGACAATCTTCTTGAGATGTGCAGCCTATCCTAAAAGTTTCCAAAAAATTCTATTTGATATGCTCAAGCTATCTTCTGACAACAAATATGAAACATACAACTCTGGATTTTTATTGCTATGATGTTTGCTAGCCCAGAAACCTGTTCTGACATTATGATTCCAATAACAATAATAGCAGCAATGACTCCAGTACTTGGCAGTTCAAAGCCACCAGCATGAAGTTCACGGAGAATGGACATCTAGAGAAAAACAAATAGGCATGATGGAAGAATGGCAGATCTCTTCTTCAGAGCTGCACTGGGTCCAGCACTGGCTGACAGAGGATGGAGAACTTCATTAATCTATTACTGGACTTAAAAAAAACACCCCAAAACCTGTCATCACTTTAGGGCATCCATCAGTCATGAGGTCAAGAACAAATGAAGCACACTGATAATTTATGCTAGATGTTTAGGAGATTTTGTTCACCTTGTTCTCATGACTGAATTTATGACATTTATACTTATGGCTAGTTTTCTACCAGTTTCTAGGTCTTGAAGGAATTCTCCTGCAGGCTATATTCTTTGACCACCCACCTCCAAACACAAACCATAGTAAAAGGGGAGGACAGGAAGAATGCCAATATTTTCCCCTTTTATAGTATCCTACCAACCCTTGAGACTATCGTAACTTATGACAGCTCAGAAAATTAAAGAAGCCATTACGTAGAGTCCTTCTAGCACAGAATTGGAATCTTCTGTTCTGCAGTGTGCACTGTGAACTCCATGGTGCACATAAAACTAGAGAAAACATATTTTAAAAGAAAAAGATTTAAGTGCCCTCAGAAGAATTTGTGAAAGGGGGTGGGAATGATATACTCTGTTTTATTATGTGTACAATCCATTACTGCACAATCAAATTCAAGGTTTTACCCTTTTGCATGTGGCATGCATTATGTGCTAGAGTAAAATCTGGCTCAGTCCTTCAAACGTGACAGAAACAAGTATTTTAGTTCATGTGTCTCCCTATCACACACATTTGTGTTTCAACATCTGATTCTAACAGTGTCCAGAATGACAGACTTTACAATTCAGGTTAAAAGTACTGGACTTCTAAACTGATGGAGTTCAACTATAAAAGGAAACTCATGGGGTACATCTTTTTCCTGAAGTTTAGCATTGCATAACAGATTAAATCAATCTTCTGCTCCACAGATTTTGGAGCCACTGTAAATAACCTGAGGACACTTCATCTTTTTTGTTTCTCTCCATGTTCTTCTCTGCTCTTAGGATAATGAACTATATCTTACAAGAACAAGATTCTCTGTAGTGAAGTGGTTATGTCAGACTAGGATCTGGGAGACCCAAATCTGAATCCCCACTGTGCCAAGGAAGCTTGCAGGGTGACCTTGGCACAGTTACATACTCTCAGCTTAACCTACTATGACAGCCCCATCCACTTCTTTCCCTCAGAGGCAAGATTCTCCCTCTGTTTTTCCTTCACTTTACTGACTGAGCTGCCCTAGTAATGTGTTTTCTTCTTTGTTGAAGAACTCTGACTGTCTCAATCTGTCACAGTATGATATTTTGGCTGTTGGCTCAGCCCAGGAACCTGAGGGAAGGATCAGTAGTCCCCTTTAACAAACAACTTAAATGGCATTCAGGGCATTCTGCATCCTTCAGAGCTAACTCCCTGTTTGACTGGGTAGGGATTTTTCTTCTCCCTCTAAAAGATCTGTCCTGGCCCAAATGGGAGTATCCATCTAACTACCCACTTGTCCTTGCCAACTTTCCCCAGTTTTCCTGTCGATGTTAAACTGTTCTCAGTCAGGGCTGAATTCTGAAACTGTCAGTGCTCATCTCTTCTCAGCTAGGACTGAAATCAGACTGAATTCTCATTCGCACCCAGTTCAGAACTCTTACTCTGCTCAGCTGATGCTAACCAATCAGATCTATTGGAACAGCCTGTCACTCAAGTCTCTCTGTTTCTGTGATAAATTAACTCTTCACAGTCCTTTAGCTGTCTGTACAGCACTTCTAAGTGCTTTAAAAAGTGCAGTCTGCCACACCTACCTCACACAGTTGTTGTAAGTATAAAATTGAGGTAGGAGAATGAGTGATGTAAGCCATTTTGGATCCCATTGGGGAGAGGGTGAGATATAAATGAAATAAATAGATAAGATTCACAAGGAAAACTGTCAGATAAAAATGGAGAAGCAACACATGGTTTATTGTTAGCTATTTTACATGTGTAACTTTTGATAGGTGAGCATGGTCTTGTTATGCAAACATAAGAAAGTTTAGGCTGACTGGCTGAAAAAAAATGAGGTGAAGTAATTCTTTACATTTACAGGTTTATGTAAGAAACAACATCCGTACATCCCAAAACATATCTGAATGTGTCAGCCTTAAGCCAACTTTGAAACTTATAGAGGCTCAGTAACATGTTCCTTTTCAAAGCCTTTTTTTTAAGCCTCAGATTTTACCCTTGGGATTAAATAAATCACTACATCATTGCTTAGGTTAATACTCCATTCATTCATACCTGTTGTCTGAGGACTTCCATTTGCATCTGCATCTCATCCTGTCTACAATTTCTGTCTAATTCATCCACATTAGGGACATGTGAGGATACTTTGTGGTTGTTCAAGGCATCCAGAAGGGCCTATATCAATAAAATATACACATTATGCTTCATATTCATTACATAAAACGCATTCTTTAAGTACCGTTATCTTAGTTATGCACTGTAAACTAAACATAGTATATCATTAGTCGTGCTGTTATAGTAATAACTTGAAAACTAACAGGGTCCTATTGGGAGTCAGCGACACCTGAAGAGGAACATGAAGTTCCAAGGGAAGGATACTAAGAAAGGGGAAACTCTCCCCCCCCCCCCAGCAGCTAAGTTCTTGGTTTGACCAAATGTTGGGTTCTAAGGAAGATACCAGGGTCGCGATCACACGCACAATTAGCTGCACCATAGGCGCAAATGCTGGGTGGATTTAAAGGGCGCGATCAGACACGAACATCTAGGAAGCATCCCCGCACCCGTCGGCAACCCATTTTGCTCCACCACAGAAGCAGAGTAAAAAGACACTGGTGAAAATCCAGTAGTAAATGGGTTGTGACGGGCCATGGGTGGACTTTCCTATGTTTGATCACTCCAGCGCGCTCTCATGGCATCGGGATGGTCTGATCAGGACATCCCGACTCTGTGCCATTGTTTTTTCCCCCGTCTCGGTACGCGCATCATCACAAACTGTATAGGGAGACCTCAGTGTGGAGATGTGATTCATTGATCCCTCTTTGAAGCGTACTGGAAACAAACAGCAATAAAACCCAACAGACTCACTCATGGTTGCATCTGATCATGCAGTGGCGGGCTGTGCCTGCAACTTCCAAGGACTGTGTGATTGCGCAACCTGGGGTCAAATTCCTACAGAGCAAATAGTCTCGCTTCCCCCTGCTTTATCTTATGTATGTGACCGTGACCTAAGGAAGGGGAAACTCTCCTTAGCAGCTAAGTTCTCAGTTGAGCCCTCATTGATCCACACAAGAGCTCCACAGTTTTATTCACATCCATAGCACATAGCACTTTTGTGAACTTCAGTAGTATGCTAACTGCACCCTTTTATCCAAAACCCAATCTGGCCACAGGTATCTATGCTCTCATCATATTCAGTGAGATTACTTCAGTGTACTTTTATGTGGTGCTACCCTTGAAGACTTGAAAATGTTACTGTGTTCAATATGCAGTAGCTAAATTGGTGGCTGGCAACAGAATACTGCAAATATATTTCTTTTTAATTTTTTTGGTTTATGCACAGAAAATATTAGGGGTGGGCACAAACCATATGTTTGAAGTTTGGTTTAGTTTGTGGTTCATGGCTGAACAATGAACCAAACCACAAACTGATATGCTGGTTCGTGAACCGAACTGGTTCATATAGGCTTGTGAGCCATTTAAATTTTAAACCCCTGTTTTCTGCTCCCCATGAAAGTGGTACACAAAAGAAAGCAGGGGTTTAAATGGATCAGAGCCATTTAAACCCTTTGCTTCTGCTCCCCACTGCTTTGAAGCTCCATTTAACCCACTGGTTCTGCTCCCCCCAAAGGGGCAGGGAGCAGACCAGGACAGTTTAAATGGCTCCCAACCATTTAACCCTTGGGTTCAGCTCCCCACTGCTTTGAAGTGTGGGAGGGCAAAACTGAGCCACTTAACCCCTTTTACGACATTCCCCCCCTTCCTTCCTGCTGGCAGGGGAAAGCTGTGTTGTCCATCTGATTCACCACTTGTCCCCAATTATTAGTATTTTTAGAGGCTTTCTTTTTAATAAACCATCAAATTAATCATACAAAACCACTCTTTTTGACTTAGAAGATAATTTTTATTCCAGTGTCTTGCAGATACAGTAGGAGCAGTTGTTACTGCATATAGGATCAGTTCTTTAAGAGAAGATGGAATACATACAACAAAGTTTAACAATAACAGTTCTGGTGTATAAGCAATTCTATAGCCTATACCAGCTGAAATGCTTGCTACTATTACATTCCAATATTTTACAGCTTGCAAACACTCACAAATAAGTGATGAATTTGGGTCAGTATCTGTTTATAAACGAAGGCTGTGGTCACACAGCAAGGTAATTGTGATTTGTTCCCGGTATAAATTTTATCGAGAATATTTTTTCGGGTTGGGATGATCACACATCCCTCTTTGAACTGCAAGCATTCTGTGAAGAGACTCTGGGCACCATCTAGATGCTGCTGGCCCCTCTCTCTGCCGACCGCTCGCCTGCCAGCCCACTGCCCACCCAGCACTTCCTTCCCCCTGCCTGCCCATCTCCCCTCCCCAGCAACTTTCCACGCCGCCGGCCCAGTGTTGCTGGCAAGCTGGGTGTGCTCCCCAGCACTGGGAGCTCCCTCCCTCCTAACGCCACAACTTCAGGGACTTCTGGGGTGGGCTCCACAGCCCGCTTGCCTGCCAGCCTTCCCAGCACTTCCTTCCCCACCCACTGGCTTCCTCCCCCAGCAACTTTCCACGCCGCCGGCCCAGTGTTGCTGGCAAGCTGGGTGTGCTCCCCAGCACTGGGAGCTCCCTCCCTCCTAATGCTGCATCGGGGACTCCTGGGGCGGCCACGGACAGGACCACGAGCTCTGCACTGGATGTGTGCTTGAATATTTAAATATAGAATTTATTCAGCACGAGATTGCTCATGCGCTCAAAGGTGGAAGCTGGGGGGGGGGGACTTCATAGTGCAAAGAACAGTTAGATGACCCTAATCACAAGCATTGCGAGAGATGGCTGTCCAGATCGGCAAAATCGCGGATTCAAAGCGCAAGTACCCAGAAAGTACTTGATTTTCCCAGTGCAGGAAAACATGGTAGAGAACCAGGAGGATTGCACAAGTGTGCCCAGTGCGGCGCAGGAGGCGGATTGGTCCGTCTGATCAGCAAATTTAAATGCAAGAGGGAACAGCAGTGAAACCCGATCAAAACAACTGTGTGACTGCAACTTTAATGTAGGAAAAACAGAAGCTCTGTTTTTTAGAGGTTAATAAAAAAGACCTGAGGGCAGGCATGTTATATAGTCAAATGGGGGGGGGGTTTAAATACTTTAATATATAAGGAGTTAATATATCTTTATGTAATAAAGATATCTTCAAACATAATTATATTCCACTAATTCCTAGAAATCAAGCTAAAAATAGATACCTGGTCAAAATTGAATGTCTCATTTCTGGGCAGAATTGATGTTATAAAAATTTCTATAGTCCCAAAGATAATCTTCCTGTTTACTAATATCCCAATTATAACACAAGATAAGAAACTGCAGAAACTGCAAAAACTTTTAAATAGCTTTATTTGGAGTAATAAGAAACCAAAAATGTCTGACTACTGCACAGGATCAATGGTATAGCAGAGGTTTGGGCTATTCTAATATTACAATTCAATTATCCTGGTTAATCAAATTGATATAATTGAAATAGGACTCCTCTTTAACTCATATTGAGCAAACATATGTTAAAGTCCTATTTGATGTCTGGATTTGGCTCAAAAAAATTCGAGGCAGAAATTTTAAGTGCACGGACTCTAATCTGGGAGAACCAGGTTTGATTCCCCACTCCTCCACTCACAGCTGCTAGATGACTTTGGGCAAGCCATGGTTCTGTCAGAGGTGTTCTTGAAAAAAGCAGTTTCTGTCAGAGCTCTCTCAGCCCCACCTACCTCACAGAATGTCTGTTGTGAGGAGGGGAAGGGGAAGGAATTTGTAAGCCGCTCTGAGACTCCGAGTGAAGAGTGGGGTATAAATCCAATCTCTTCTCTTCTTCTACAGTCATAGTAATTTCATTATTGATGCATTGGTGCATACCTGGTGCTGATTTGGCCAGAAAATAGCACCTTCTATCTCTCCATTATCTTTTGTTATTAGAAATAAAATGTATATCTGATCATGACTAATGCCTTTAAACAGTGGGAAAACTCTCAGTGTGCCAGATACCATATACTAATATAGTGACTAACAGAGTTGTACACTTTGAAGCTGTGAAGTTGGTGAAGGAGGTTATCCAGTAAATCAAGTTTTATTTAAAAGAGAATGAACCTTTTCAGTAAATCTCTCTTTGAGAGAGAATGTCGTTAAATTGGTAAACCAATGGTGTCTGTCACCAAAAAGACTTTCTGATATTTATAACACCACAAAGCATTGTTAATTTTGCGGCAAAGATAACACTACTTTTTCTGTGTGGTGTGAGCAAACATAATATTTCAAGAACAACACAGACTAACAATTCATGTCTGGGCTCAGTTCAAAGTGTTTGTTAAAATATATGGGATCAAAGAATGTAAAGGACTGTCTATTGCCATACAAATATGCTCAGCAGTTAAGATTGGAGGCCGTTAAGTAGCTCCTTTTGTGCCTGAGACAAGAATATAAAATTGCCTCCCTTATACTTTCATAGTAGTTATTTTGGTAAAAATAATAAATAACAAGAGTAGTAACAGCACAATGTTTATTTCAGTCTCACTATACTTTTTTCTATGCCCCTCAGCTTTGTGCACCCAAGGAAAGCACCTCCCTTGCCTTGCCCTGGTTATAGCTCTGGCCCTTATTGTGTTCTCTAATAACATGGTTTTAATGTTTTGTTGTTGCAAGCATGTTTGTATGTGTGTGTTTTAAAAAAACTGGGAGTGGAGATAAAAATAATTAAAATAAGATGCTTAAATTTTTTCCCGGTCTGATTTTGGAACACAGGCACCCAGGAAGAGATGCTCCTTTGTTCTAATGATAGTTCCTAGGTGAGTCTTAGGAGGAAGCCTAAGATGTCCTGTTCTGTTTCTCTTTTAATGACACTCATAGATTTGCAGTACCTCAGTCCACAGGTCCCCATAAACAACAGCAAGCTACACAGAACTGCATACTAGCTTCATAGCTAAAGAGAGGGCCTTAAGATCAGAACAGGGGTGCAAATTCAAAAAGTCTTTGAAATTTATTTTGAAGCTATAACTGCATTCTCAAGCTTTATGCAATGTGCACATCTGAACTAGTGTAAGCAATATATGTACTTCCTATGCCTACATAATCACACTCCAGTCACCAGATTTAATGCTCTATTAGGCCAAGAGCAGTGATGCTCTAGTTGCATAAATATTGCCTTACTG